TATATATGTATTGCTAACCAACTTTGCTGATAAGAGATGCCAAAGGAATTCCTTTGGACTGAAATGAATGGACATTAAATAGAAACTCAAAAATCCACATGAAGAACTAGATCATTGTTAAAAGTCAATCAACCATAGAGGTAAATATAAAGGACCTTCTAACTCTTGTTTGTCATTTTTTTCTCTCCTGTCTAATTTAAAAGACAACTGAATATAGCAATAATTATAAATGTTTGTTGATGGGCATATAATGTATAAATATGTCATTTATATGACAATAATAACCCAAAGGAGCAGAGAGGAAATGAAGGTAATAGAAGGAAAGTTTTAGTGGACTATTGACATTAAGTTGGTATTTATATAAATTCTCCAGCATGGGTAGATCTATAGAGACAGGGTAGAGATTAGTGTTTGGGAGGGGGTGAGAATGGGTAATAACTAAAAATGGGCATATGGATTCTTTGGGGGATGATAACATTCTAAAATTACATTATAGTAATGGTTGTACAATTCTGTGAACTTACTAAAAATTATACACCTAAAATAAGAGAATATTATTGTATACAGATTATACCCCAAGCTGTTAAAACCATCCATTAAAATTATTTAAGTATTATATTTATGTTAATAATAATAGCTACCATTGATTGAATGCTAGGCACTGTGTGGAACATTTTATACACATTATATTTAATTTAATGTTCATGACAGCTTTGAGATATTAGGTATTATTGTGCCTCATTTAAGAGATGTAGAAACTGAGTTCAAAGGAGACAACAGAATATAAAGATCAAAAGTGAAAGCTTTTGCATGAAAAGATGCTCAGCATCATTAATTATTAGAGAAATTCAAATCAAAACCATAGTGAGACGCCACGTCACCCTCATTAGTATGATTATTATTAAAACAATAACAACAGTAAAAATAAATAAATAAATAACAAGTGTTGGCAAGGATATGGAGAAATTGAGACCCTTTTGCACTGTATGTAGGAATGTAAAATTGTACATCTGCTGTGGAAAACAACGTGGAGGTTCCTAAAAATGTTTATATAGAACTATCACATGGTTCAGCAATGTTGCTTCTGAGTGTATATATCTGAAAGAATTGCTAACAGGATCTTGCAGAGATATTTGGGGACCTACATTCCTTGCAGCATTATCCACAAGCAATGGAAATGACC